GCATAAGATTTCAGAACACTGGGATTAGGTCAGGCAGCAGAGCTAAAAGTACTGATATCGATCACTTTTTCCCTCCTGTTGCCCCTATTTTGGAGCATCTAGGATCTCTGGATTACAAGAAGATTATAATCAGTTCAAGGAAAAGAGGTTAACAGGAACCAAGAGCCCAATCAGTCTTGAGTTAGTGTCTACCTTCCCTAATGCTGGCTCTGATGGGTGCCCATAATAGTCTGTCATGCTATTCAGTTCTTCCTGCAGGGTAGACAGGTCTAGCAATTGGTTCACTTCAGGGAAGAGGTGATGCAGCCTGGACTCCAGCTGTCCTAACCATAATCCCCATAAAACAGTGAATTACACATAAACATTCGTTTCTATAAATACCACCTGTACCTGTAAACACTGAAAACAAAACTGAAGGGTTGGTCCCTGGCCTGCCCAATCCCTTTCTCAACAGCTTTGATTCATTCCAAGCAGCTCAAGAGGCATGCAAACAACTCTAGTGTCAACACCAAGGGAGGAGTGACTGTGGGTTAAACTAAATGCAGCAATGAGTTCTATTCAGCTTATGTAACAGGTTGTGGAAACTTGCTTTGTTTGAGGGAAACTTCTCTTTCTAAATACACACTAGTTGGCATGAAATTCTGTTTAAAAAGCAATTATTTAACAGGAAAAACTAACTTCCATTCCTTAATCAGAAATCAACTGACAGACCCAAAAAGAATGATGACCTGAACAGAAGCTAAAATTGAAAAGCTGCTCAGTGTAACCCACAAGACATCACTGCATGATACCTAAGAACTGTCCAGCATCTCTAAGTGGAGTCCTACTGACCATTCAGTGCCTGGGAGGATCTACAGCCTCTGCCCCTATACCCAGGACCTGCTGTCTGTGCTACATGCAGCTGATCGGGATGGAAATGGGCTCCTATAGCAAAGTACATTGACAAGTAAGAGCATGGACAGCCTCTCTGCAGGATACATACACTGGAAAAATGGACTCGACCAGCAGCCACCTCAGATACCTGCCAACTGTGGAATTTCTATCAATCTCTTCACCCTCCTTAGTAAATTGTAGCTAAGTCGCTGAAAAAACTTACACTCATCTGAGCACAGTGTGGACCTTTCTGTTTCTGGTTTTGGGGAAAGAAGATCCCTTGGGAGGGATCCTTTGAGGAGGGAGACTCACCCTCCTGGCTTTTACTGTTAGCTCCAACTCCTGGCTTAACATCCTACACTGAATTGCCAATCTAGACACAGTCTTAAAAGGATACATTTTTCACTATACACTCCCAGTTTTGTAAGTTCCTACTACCAGCTTTCAATAAAACTTTTGCTTGAGGCTCAGGACAAAAGAAAGCATGTTTAAGGGGTAGGGAGAAGGACATTTCACTGCAGAATTTCCAGCCAAAACAACAGCTGGCATCTTTCCTTCCATCTTGTGGAGAACACAAATTTATGTACCTAAAGGTAATAATGCAGTCGTAAATTTAGCCAGAAGAAATATTTCACCAATAGCAAACCAATACATTATTTAAAAATGGGCTCAATCCGCTGGGTAAGGTAGATGGGCCAGAAAGAGTCTGGCAGCCTTCAGAAACAAACACAATCATTATAGCTTCTCTACATTCCCCTAGAATCAGGGTCATCTTTACAAAATATTCAGTCTCGAGCAGTCATAGCTAAGAAAGTCAGGAGGAAAGCCTGAGAAATTCTGTGCCAGTAAGGAAGCCATCGGTCCATAAGGCACCCCCGCGGCTTGGTAAATTGGTGGTGAATCTTCCACACCTCCTCGATGGCAGCTGCTGCTCCTAATGGCATCCTTCATCTGTTCCCACCCACAGCAACACAAAGGCAGGCACTGATTTCAGCTAGCATTCATGAAAATGACCTTACTGAAAATTGCCTGACCTTAGTCTTGCAATAAACGATACAGAGAAAACTAGAAAATATATCAAAGGGTTAGGAAATTTAATAACAACACCATTGTTTTGTTGCAGGTGGCACAATCAACCTCTCTTTATTATTGCAGAAACTGGAGAGCCCTGCAGAATGCAATAAAATAATGCATGTTTATCTCTGCGATGTTTCAAGGCACCCTGACTTACACTCGGGGATCAGGCACCTTGCGCCACGCATCTGAGCTTAGTAATCATTTCATGTTTTGTGCAAATTCTGGAAGGCAGCCTGAGGCCAGCCACCCACTGAGAAGTACTGCCAAGCCTCTGGCTCTCTCCTGGAATTCACTTGAAATACTACATGTACAGGGGCATGTGCTATTATCACCAAGAACTTACAGAACAACCCTGCATTTGACATCCGTGAACCAGGTGGAGCTATCCTACCACATCCATTACATAGGCTTGTTTCTGAAATACAGAAGTCCCTGTAATGGGCTGTAGCAGGAAATCTAAGAACATTTTTAGCATATGTAGAAATGAATCCAATAGTCTTGGGATTCAAAAAGAAAATAATGAAATATTCATTGCTGTAGCTTGGCTTCCTGAATGCAGGAGAAGACCCCATTCTGCATGAACAGATTCTTACTAGGTGAAAGATGATACTTAATTCCAGAATCTACTTTAGGAATCCAGATGGAATCCCACACATACTGGTACACTGTAAAGGTACACTTCCTACACTTCCTAAGCATCCTATAATCTTTAAACACTCTCCATGTCACCAGCTCTTAAAAGTCTCTTTTATAGAAAACTATTTCACAGATCTGTTCTTGAATTTCAAAGACTACAGTCAGTTTCCTAGGCTATATACAATCAATCACCTGAGGGCTGCATCCTCTAGATCTGCAGTAGCCACCCCAGGATGGCCAAGCAATGATCTCCTCCTACATGCTCCACACTGCTGTCTTTGTGTCTGGGACCATTTATCTGCATGCAAATGTTGCCTGCCTACCCCAAAATGCCCCTTACAGATACCACAGAAGACATCTGCTGTTAGAAATTTAGAATAAGGGGCTGGGGATTTAGCTCAGCGGCATAAGCGCCTGCCTTGCAAGCAGGCAGTCATGAGTTCGATCCCCGGTACCGATAAAAAGGAAAAAACAAACAAACAAAAAAAAACACACACACAAAAGAAATTTAGATTAAAAAGTATAGTAGGGCTTTAGAAGATTCCTTTTACAGACAGCTAGTGTGAACTGGATGGCATCTGCCACATCAAACTAATAATAAAACAAGCAGTAAATAATCACTTAACACTCAAAAAAATTGTAAGTCATGTTAAATAGAATAAATGTGTAATGTCCTAAAATATTAAATATTTTTTTCTTATTGTGTACTTCTTTAAAAAGAAGAAAGCAATTAAAACAGTATAGGTTCTTTCTATAAAGTACCCCAAGATCCAAAGGTATCTGGTTTTATTCTATGTACACAATCAAAAGACCTGAACCTACATACTATCTTTTTTTTCCCTACTATCTTAAAATATCCAACAAAAAGCAAAAGCAAGTCAAACTCAGGAGAAGTCAGAGCAGCTGAGTCAGAAAGGCACTTCTTTAAATCAGGACAGTGCTGATAGCAACATCGCATCTCCCAGTACTGTCACTCTGCCCCACTCTCCCTTAAGTGCCGTCTCACCTTGCTGAGATCCTGGGTATCTTCAAAGCCCTCACAGAAGCTATTTTTCTGTGAAACACTATACATCTCAACTATTCTTAAAGGGATACACAATCAAAATACTGCTCCAGTTCTAACCCAACCCTAAATGCATTGCTCTCTCAAGAAAAGGCACTGAATTTTTATATAAACCATCAAGAGGCAACAGACTCTGAGAGGGAAAAGCAATGCCTTTAGGAATTTATCAAATAACCACTGAGAAACTACCTTCCGAAGAACAAAGGCCTATTATTATTGACTTGACAAGTTATAAATGCAAACCACAAAGACAGAGAGATGTATCCTCACTGCCAGGAGCTCCAACAGAAATTACCTAAGGGCACCATTAAAGGCAAGAACAAATTCATTTCTGACTATCCTCTTACTCGAGGAATGTAAATAATATACAAAAAATCCCTAAATTTCAGATCGTTTGGATAAATGATCCACAAATCAAATACCCAAGAAGGCAAGTATTAAGTAGGTCCCATAAGTCATTTGTTTCCATAAGGTTTATAGCCAGAAAGAGAGGAGATGCCCAGGCAAAGCACCTGCCTAACTTGCTTTCTCCCTAACAGATAATTTCAGTACAGATAATTTCAGAATCAGGTAGTCACACAAAGCTGGATGTAACAGAAGCACCTCTGTAAACATGCCAGATGTCTAAATTTCTATTAAACAATAGGTCATCAAGCTGGTTTATAAAAAGGGATAAAGGAAATAGGTCTTTGGGTAGTTTACAAATACCTAGATTTTAAGGGCAACATGACAGTTATATTCTCTGCCATTTTTATAAAAGGAAGGAAGGAAAGGGGTGGGAAAGAAGTGGGGGAGAAAAGAAAAGAAAAAGAAAAAGAGGGAAGCAAGCAAGCTGGCAATAAGATATAAGCAACAACAACAAAAAAACACTAATTGGTAACCAATTCCCTAAAAAGAAATCTACCTTCTGAATCAAAGTCTAAGTGCATAATAGGTGTCATCCTTTGAACACTGGGTACTTTTTTCTCTGCTACCTAAAAACAGACGACAAGAAGGATATAGCTCTACCTGGCTGGGGTTACAGAAGAGGTACTGAAAATATACTTCCTGTGCAAAATAAAACCCACCATTTAAGAATAACATGAAAGACCTGTTTTCAAAAGATTCTGTAAGGAAAATTCATGACACAAGACTACCTGCTGCATGGCTCACTGTAATGCATGAGCTGTCACTACAAACAATGTGTGTATACACCAACAGGCTAGGAGATGGCATGCAGACGTGCAAGGACCATACGAGCCTTGGAAATATGAGGTGAGAATCTACGGAGAATTCTAGCTTGAACTCAAAGAGTCTGTGACCAAGAAACTGAAGCTTCCCTGCAAGAAAGAAAAGGAATAACCAAGCTTACCCTTGGCTGCCAGTTCTCGTACTGCTTCTGTAAATTTGCACCGATGGTTTCCAGGGCTTTCTGAGGACCCATTGACAGAGGATCTGCAGAAGAATTGAAAACGAAACAGTTCTTTACACACGTGCTTCCTCCACTGCCAAAGTTCTCTTTCTAGCAGATTCCTCTTCCATACTCACTTCAATGTCACCAATGTGACTTCAGGTTTCGCTGCCTTAAACCTCATATGGACCTACTAATGGCTACAAAATGGTTTTATTAAAACCACTGCCACCAGAATTGTTTCCCTTCTAATCAAGTTTGCTTAAATTTCAGCACCTACCACTCTTCTGAACCTTTATTTCTACTCCAGTGCCATGTTCAAGGGAAGGATTAGTTGTTGCTCTTTCAAGATAGAAACCTTAACACAGGGACCCCTGTAGGGATCACACAGGATCCTGGATGCAACGGCAGGGGGGGAAAAAAAAAAAGGAAGGGACCACGAATGACACATTTTAATAATTTTCATTTATACCCTACATTCTCCCACCAAGAAAAAAATTAGTTTTACAAATATACATATATACCCGTGGTTTGCAGCTTCTGGTATGGCTTTTAGTGACAACAACTCAAAGCCAAAAGTTCTCAGATTTGCCCAGTGTTAGGCTCCCTTTCTACTCTTTAAAATGATTGAGAAACCCAACATGTTTTTATTTATGCAAAGGTTATCTGTTGGTATTTGACACATTAGAAATTAAGGTGAACAAAACTTTTAATGTTTTTACTCACTCATTAAAAAGTAATAAACCCACTGTATTTTGTTGGTTTTTTTTTTTTTTTTTTTTTTTTTTCCCTTTTTGAAACAGGATCTCTTTATGCAGTTTCAGGCTGGCCTTGAGCTCACTTTGTAGCCCAGGCTGGTCTCGAACTTGCAATGATCCTCCCGCCTCAGCCTCCAGAGTGCTGGGATTACAGGCATGAGCCACCATGCCCAGCTCTAACCCACTGTATTTTAACATGAATAATTATACTGAAATATAAGTACGTTCCTCACATTTAGTAAGAATAGTAACACTGCTGATGCTTTTGCAACCTTCTTTAGTATTAGGTTTAGGAGATGCCCAGACCCTCCTATCTTTTTCTGCATTCATCTGTTGCACTGTGGGATTTCAGTTAAGACCTGTCAGGAAAATCTCCCTTCACACAAATATTTATCACTAATAAAGAAAGGGGTATTTAAGTGAAGGAATAGCTAGTCAGGGTGTTTCCTTTGATACTACATCAAAACTCAACAACCAGTAGCTCCTTTGAGATTACTCGCAATGTAGTAGGTAAAGCCATGTCAATGAATGGGGACTGGTCTTGTGGAACCTTAAATGGCTACCTCACTCACAGATGGGCTTTGTAACACTGGGCACTGACCATCATTAGTTCAATGAGTTTTGCTGACCTTCCCTATTAAAAATAATAATACCAATAATATCACCATGATCTCATCAGAAAAGTCTTCCAAATCCTAATTTTTTTATTTGAAATCTCATATTTTACCACTGGCAACATGACAGGCTCACTTTGTTTATTTCCTCACCAAACATCCAGATCTGTGTTATTCCTTCGTGTGAAAAAAAAATGTGTGTGGTGAAAACAGCATGAGCCCAGCTCCTATCGCACCTGCGGCAGAGGGGTTGCCTCACCCAGACCAGCCCTGCAGTCAGCCAGATGCACCTGCTGAAGCACTGTCTCCCACCCCTACTGCTCCCCGACAGCTGCACCCACAGCGGAGGAGCTGGTCACCCGCCCTCCAGCCAGCAGCTCTACCACTAAGCAACAGCACATGAACATCCCATTCATCACACAGAAATCTTTAAAAACGTGCATTCAGTAGTTGAAATTTAAGGAAATTAATACATTCTCCTGTCCTATCAAGGGCAAACTCTTACGAATCAGGTTCTTTTTTTCAAATGCAAATGACCAGCAACACAAAACTCACAGTGACTCCCTTGATTCTCCCTAAGGCTTCAGAAGAAGTTTCTTTGCCTTAAGTTGCTTTCCCACCATCAACGAAGGTGTCAACATGGGGGAAAGGGCAAATGGCATCTTTTTTTTTTTTTTAATTTAAAGAAAGAATAAACAAAAAGGGTAGAAATAATACATAATTTCAAAGAAAAAATAAACAGTAAGAAATCACTAGTTGATAATTACATATTGTCCTCTTACAATAGTTGTTCAAGTTACAAAAGTGAAGCATACAAAGTGGACATTCAGCAAGACTGCAAACAGTTCTGTTCAACTATCCAACAAAAACCTAGTAATATGGTTAACAACCCTATACACTTAAACATGCATGTAGTTATCCATATCTTCATGTATGTTAAGATTAAACAAACCAAAGCAGGCTAAAATCACTCTGAACAAAGAATAATAGTATTGCTGGATTTCACATCATGATACTACGGGATCAGCACTGGATACTGTAGTGTCTCTTTCTTCAAAGCAGTTGTTCATTTCATCATGTGTTTTAAGATCAGTTCTCATAAACTGCGTGCATGAGTCTCTACATGTATTTCTATCCTTTCTATATTAGAGGGTGAAACAAAACAAAGCAAGACAAAACAAAACATATTCCTACAAACACATGAAATGAAAAAGTCATGTAAAACCACAGTACAAGGTGTTCTACAATGGTTACTGTGTAGTATCTTGTTATCTTCAATAGAATTGTCTATATCATCAGGCATAGTATAACTGAATATAGCAGTACATAACAATATTAATAAAAATAAAACATTGTAGATACTGTAAAACTTCAAAAGCAGGTACTAGTAAAACCAGAATGGGTATTCTAGTGAATTTTGTCATCTTCAGTGTAGTTGCCTATACTCTCAAACTTGATAATATCAATCATAACAGTTTTGAATAAAATCTGTCAATACCAAATGACATCTTGATAGTATTACAAAAACAGAGCAACCTCAGGAGCTCCTCAGGACCCACATACCCCAATGTGAGAATAGTAGTAAGCATTGCCTTTGACAGAATTAGAATACATGGAAGAAATTAGACTGCTCCTGCCTGTGGAAACTTGTTTTTCACCAAGGTCTGTGTGAAGCATTAAGCACCCCACCCTCTCATATGTCCAACTGCTCCTGGGAAGTGGAGACTTTCCATGGGCTTCCAGGCTTAATTATGCACACATGCTTCACTTAGGAAGTCAGGGAACACGACAAGGCTTTGAACCAAAAAGCAGCTGTCACGGCTTCAGAAGCAACCCCTTCCAACTTGACTGGCTGGCACTTGTGACATTTTCTCCCATTCCCTAGACATCTATGCTTAGATTGTTATTTCCTGATTTTTCTTATCAGACATTATCAGCAACCCCCTTCCATGGTACTTAGCATTTTTCTCTCTTCTATTCTCAGCACTACCCTACTCCCTGCCCTACTCCCAACACAGCTACATCACATTTTACTAAATTAATATTTTGTGTTTTAAGATATATTCATGGAAACATTCAATGTTGAGCCAATGAATATATCAAAACTATACCTTTTAGGTAGTGTTTACTTCTGGGCTTCCTAGATTGTTTCCTAGTCTTCTTATTTTCCATGTACCTAACAGAATTCTGCCTCAACAGATCCAAGCATTACTTCCCACACATTCATCTGCCGGTCTTTCCCATTCACTTGGCTGCTCCCTGGAAACCCCACTTTCACAGAAGAATGCAAGGTCCCATCTTGTAGAAAGTTAACGGCTCCCAGGAAAAGAGACTTATAGGCAATGATAAAAGGACTGCATTCTATCATCAAATTCCCAGACTGGTGACTGTAATATGAAAACTCCCCACATTTGTCAAAAGACAAAAATAGATACAAGTTCAGGAACTACAAACAAGGGAAGCCCAAAGAAATCTCCATCTAGACAATCATAATCATACTATTAAAATTTAAAGGCAAAGAAAACCCTCAGAGAAAAATCAGATCACATACAAAGGATCTGGAATTAGGGAAGCTCCAGGCTCCCTAACAACACTGAAAACCGACAAAACAGAGTGATTCTTTCAAAAGTTCCTATGAAGATAATTTCAGTCTAATATTCAACTTCAAGGAAACAAAATAGTCCTTCTTGACCCACAAACATGTACAAAATCTGTATCTTGTGCTCTTTTTCTTGGGAAACAAAGAAAATAATAAAGGATCCAAGAAATAAGGAGAAGGGAAGGGAAAGGAGGAAAAGGTGAGAAGGGAGGGAAAGGAAGTAAGGAAAGCAAAAGAGGAGAAAGTTCCACATACAGGTCTAGAGACCAAGGAATGAACTGCAGGAAGAGGTATGTGTTTTTAAAAAAAGCAAAAACAAAAATGCACCCTTGTATAAAATCCTCCCAGCTACTTGAGAGGTTGAGGCAAGAGGAGCCAAGTTCAAAGTCAGCCTGGGAAACAGAATGAGATCCTGTCTCAAAATAAGATATAAAAATAAAAAGGACTAGGGATGATGTAGTAGTAGCTCAGCAGTAGAGTGACTGCCCTGGGTTCAAACCCTAGCACTGCAAAAAACAAAACAAAAAAGTAATATGCTATTTCAGCACTGAAATAATTAACAGATCTGTAATACATGTAAAAATTAAATTCACTACAGTTTCACAAAAAACTTAGAAATAGAAAATTTGTGACTACAGGAGGGAAAAAGCATACATGGACAAGAAAAAAAAAAAAAAAAAAAAACTAATCCAAGACACCAAGGGAGGTGAGGACAGCTTTTTCTTAATACAACTATTAAAACCATCTGACTGCTCTAGCTATGCTCCAGCATTATTTTGATGAAAAGTAAAAAAACCTAACACTAAGCAATAGGATTCTATACCTGGGAGGCATCTGCACCCATGAATATGTCAGTTGTCACAGACTTTTCCAAAGAGAAAATCCAGGCCCTCTCCTTCTGGAAACTAGCCGTAGCTCCCTACGTGGCTGGCTGGTGCCCCATGAGCAGCTCTGGCTAAGGATGACTTGATGGAAACCAGATCCTCACTAAGATCTCTAGAAGATGTGTGGTAAATGTGTTACAATCAACCACAATAAATGACATGTTGGGAAGGGGATGCAGCTCCCTGGCA